TGGAACTTGTCGTCATGCTGATGGATCTAATAATTTTTAGGGATGAGTGAATACATTGATGTTTTTAATATGACTGTGGGATAGGGTGCGATTGCTAGTGAGAGACAGATATCAGCGAGTGCGTCCCGCAGATATAAAGGAATAAGGACATTTCTTTTGACCAAACTACCCACAAGTGCTGAATTACACACAGGTCAGTTTATTAGACGAATGAAACTTGTGAGGTAACGTACCGCTGTTTCATTCGGTCTACACTGTGACTATCTAAACTGCATTTGAGTGTGTTGAAAGTTATAATGTTATTCTATGTGTTAGTTTGTTGGCTATATGAGACTAGCAGTGAGCTAGCTAGATCAACATTAGAATAACATACAGATCATATTCTAACATTTTATCTTGTTGAGCTATATAAAATTGATTAGTTTTATGTGCATTTGCTCACCACTGCACAGAGAGTGGCGTCTCTGAAAAGTTGTAACTCATGAAGCTCTGTCAAGTCGAAGTTAGTAGCGGACGTGGAGCTCTCGGCATCTCGAAAGTGCCACGCTGATATTGATTCTCGTGTTAGTTCTCCTTTTGTACCAAAGTCTGCTTGCCATGGCTCATCATGTTTGAACGGAAAAAAAACTAGATGTAACGCGGTTGTTCCATGAATATCACCATGGTTACTATAGCAGTAAAAGCGGAAACAAGAGAGATTGCGGATATTACGTCATTGATAGGCGACAATGACTAGGGACGAGCCTTTATTTGAAATTGGAATTTATCTGAAATTAAAAATCTTTAGGAACTTTTGGGATATTGTAATGGTGCGTTCATGTGCTATGGCAATTACTGTATGGTAAATACCAAAAAGCCGACGTGGAAAAAGCACATGAACACACCCTCATGTGGTATTTTCCACTGGTCAACTCGTAGAATATTTTGATGGACGAGTTGCCGAGATGAGATAACCTTTGACCATTCAAAATGGCGGAGAGCACAGCGAGAGTCGTGAATGGTAAAAATATATTCTATTCCTGATCTAGAAAATATACAGCATATTATATTACCTTTTGAGTTTTGATAAATCATTTTCTTGCTGTTGCAGATGACTTAAGCAATCTAAAATAGTTTTAGCTAAATAACAGGTCTGGATCTCCATCTTTTTACCACATTACGACAACAAAAGTACTTGAACGCAACACACTGGTAAATACCAGTTCACAAGTGGGAAAATATCCTATTTTCCATAGCACGTGAACACACCATAAGTAGACAGAACTGCAGAAAATATATCACAACTGTGCATATGATTTTTTTATATTTTATTATAGAAATCTTACATATTGTACCTTTAAGTGTTTGTCTGGTTTTGTCATCTGATTTATTTATTTATTTTATTTCTTTTCAGCAATTAATGTTGAATCAAGAGCTGTTTTTGCTTTATATCATAGTGGAATGAATGGTCAATAAATGGCTGAATGCACAGCATGAGGACGTGTTTAGGTCTGTTTCACACAGTATGTATAAGCAGTTTCAGTTACTGGCTTCACACCCTTTCTCAACATCATTCCCACTTGCAGCATAGCAGAAGCATTATAGAATTAGAGTTTGAATGTTATTAAAGACAATAATCAATGCACCAACCCTTAAAAAAATACTTTATAGTACACAGCTTTTCTGTATGTAGAACCGCAACTGTGAGACCCAACAGAAATGCTGTATAAAACAAGCATTGAGTACACGTATCAGAACATCTCTTGTGGTTTTCCATATTCGTAGTGCAGTGTCTCACTCCACATATCTGACTGGTTATCTTTCAAAAAGATTAATTGTATTGGACTTTTGTGTTAATAAAAACATAAAAAAATGATAATTTACATTAACTCTAAGCATGCTTCAAATTGCATGACTGCATGACTGGCTTTAAATGGCATTCAACTGCAAACGAGAAGAACAAGTACCAAATGCAAACAGAAACACAAGAGATAAAAGAAAACACAAGATAGAAACATCTGTATATTGATAAATGGATTGTAATCACAAGTGTTTATAATGTAGTTTTGTGTTTATAAGTTTTGAAGATGGGAAGAGTTGAATTTATGTCAGAGGGAGGGAGTTCCAGGATCTAGGGGCCGTGGTCAATTTATTGTCAGAGGAGGACAGTCTGAACTTCTGAACACTGTGTGTGTGAAAGTATACCTATAAAGCAGTTGTACAGACTTTGCATGGTATTTTTTTAAGATTATCCATGAATTCATATCTCATTTGCATCAAAAACTGTGTTAACATTCTTATTTGCATATTTGCATTTGAACACTGCACACAACCTGTTTATACACCTCACAGATTCCTGACTATGCAATCCAGTTTGCCCTAAATAAATTTGACTGAAATTTAAAGAACCCCCTTTTAAAAATACAAGTGTGAAATGTTGCTTTTTGGGGTTTAAAAAGTTGATAACCCGGGGTTAAGCACAGTGTGAAAAGTCCGATGGTGGTTGATGGCAGGCTAACAGGAAAAAGGGGCACAATAGGAGGATGTTGATTCAGTGTTGGCTGCTGTTATCAGACGCTGGACCTCCGCGTGGACCAAATGCATGCATGCATGTGCAGTGTTGGGAGTAACGCATTACAAAAGTAATACATTACAGTAACATATTACTTTTTGCTGTAACGCAGTAGTGTAAGGCATTACTAATCAATTTTCAGTAATATTTTACTCGTTACATGTTCAGTGAGGCTTGTATTACAGTTGTATTACAGTGAGGCTTGACATTTAGTTTTAATTGTAAAAAAAAAAAAAAAAAAAAAATACAGCAAGATCGTGAGACATTAACGAATGGAAAATGCAAGTAGGCTAAGTTACCTGTTCGTGGTCAGTCAATAGCCGCGTGTGGTGTCCAAGTTTGTAAACAAAGGCTGATATATCTGTATAGTGATTTATTTTCTACAGGAGTGCGGTGAGGCATGATTTCAGCCTCTGTGCTCGCGCTGGCCAGTGGAAAAGCACCTAATGGGTGAGGATGGCATGAAGAAGACCGCATTCGTGAGATGGACGTATGCATATTAGGCTATTCGTTCTGTGTTTTCTTTTTAAACAGTTAGGCTATGTTTAGGTGGTATTTGTCATGTTTTCCTCACGCAATCATGTTTTTGATGCGGTGGTGACGTGTTCATATAAGGGTGGCGATAATAGAGCTCCTAAAAGCTGATGAAAAAGCAAAGATTATGAATATGTCAAATATGCTTATAGCAAGGAGACTTGAATTGTTTAGTAATAAAGATGAAGTTGACGACGCTGACTCAGTAGGCTAGTGAATGCGAAATGCACATTTCATTTCATAAGCAGAGAGCAGTCTGTTTTTTGTTTTGTTTTGAATTGTTCTGTTTACAAGTAGACATTTCAGTATATATATATTTTTCAGGTCTGTGGAGTAGGCTATATACTTATACGCTGAGTTTCGGTATAGCCTATTGGCTTTTTATGAGACACGCACCAGCACGCCCCCGCGCCTTATCTAATATTGTCTGCTTTTACTTCTTAAAGGCAACAGACTATGTGAAAGTTTTAAAGCAGTCTTTTAGTGCCAGTTCAGAGCGGTCGCGTCTGTAACATTGTTTTTTCCTCATGAATGCGAACCCGAAAACTAAAATAAAACGAATATTTTAAGTTCTATGGAGACTGGAGAGCCAACCCTTCCTCATCCGATTTGCGCAGTGTAATTAACAGAATTACAAAAAATATATTTTGCCTCCTATTTTTTTGTCACGCATGAATGTGTGTCTTTTCCCTAATATTAAAAATAAAACATAGACTGATATTTGTCTAATGTCTGGAGTCCTTTAAGGAAGTAGCCTATATACGTTTCAATACATTATGTATTTTCTGAGAATTTTTATTTCAAGTTTTGACTGCAAATGTCATGTCCATTATGCTGGACTTCCCCAATTTTAAATAATTTATCCTATTTTATAATGTTAACTTCAAATAATACTAATAGCCTAATTTAAAGATAAGGTAGCATTGGATCGGGATGGTAAGGAGAATAACGCTGGGAGTTGGAAGAGGTGTGTCGCGATTCTGTAGGTTCGTGGATCTGAGTGTGGTGAATCGCGATTTCCGTTTCATATTGCATATCGTTAGAAGCCCCAAAGTTAAGTTCTACTTCTGTAGTTATTTTGGTGAAAGTAACTCAAAAGTAATACATGAGTAATGTAACGCATTATAATTCTGAGACAGTAATATTGTAAGGTAATGAATTAGGCCTAAATAACAGTAACAAGTAATACCTAATGTATTACAGTTTGGAAGTAACTTGCACAACACTGTGCATGTGTGGTGAGTGTGTGTCGTAGTAAAATTCTGATGGACTGCTGCAAACACCAGAAAAACAAGGACCGGGTTAAGAATGCTTCTCCTATTCCCTAGTTTTACTTTTTTTAGTGCATGTAATGTGTTTTTTTTTTTTTTTACTTTGAGACTCTCCAGTGCTTACGGAGCAAACGTGAAAGGTCTCCAAACTTCTGGCACTCTGAGCGTAAAGACCATCGCTACTTCCTCCCAGTTAGATCCGAGATCACAAGCACATCTGAACCGAACACAAGCGTCTTTTGAAACTGTTTATTTGAGTTGAGCGTAATGTGTTTCCCCTGTTTCTCTTTTGTTTGATGTGGGCTGAGACCATCTCCACTATGTTTCCTCATGGTTTGGAAAGATGAGACGTCCTTCCGCCCCAAGTGCTGGGAATCTTTGAGACTTTCCAGAGCTCTCTGGTCCCAGAGGACAGCTTGTGTATATTTCTCCTGAAATTTTCATTAAGCTATGCAACTTATTTTATGGATGGCTAAGGTGAATCAGGACTTGTTTTTAGTTGCGAATGCACAGTCTTAGTTTTCAGGAAGACAAAAGTGCATTTATATAATTGTGAATGTTAAAGTGCACCAATCCAAGACCATTAAATAGACTTTCATGTGTCCTTAATTTCAATATTGTTTTTTGTTTTTGTGCCATTGCAGTTTCGATGTTGAAAATGGCCCATCTGCAAGCTGCAGTCCTTTGGATCCCCAGGCCTCACCAGGTTCTGGCTTGGTTCTGCACACAAACTTTCCCGGCCACAACCAGCGGCGAGAGTCCTTCCTCTACCGCTCAGACAGCGACTATGACCTTTCACCAAAGTCAATGTCTCGAAATTCTTCTATCGCCTCAGAACTGTGAGTATAGTCGTATTTCTCATTGTTGTATTGTCTTAGTAGCTTCCTTTTATTTACTGAAGCAGTTGAAAACAACAATTTAAAATTTAATTGAATTGGTTTGCTGGTCCAAACTGGACTGGCTCTTGTCAGACCAGTTAAACTATCTTAGATTACCTAAAACCACCAAACCATCCTAGGCTGGTTTAGTCATTTGTTTTTATGAGAGAAATATTTGTTGTAAATCTGAACACTTTTTCCTGCACAGCGCATCTTTTAAGGATAAGTAAGTAAGTAAGTAAAATTTATTTATACAGCGCCTTTCACAGACTTAGTCACAAAGCGCTTTACAATATACAAAAATTGATAAAAAATAAAATAAAACAGATAAAATTATCAACATATAAAGTACAAAGATTACCCAAAAGCTAACCTGAACAGGTCTTCACTTGTCCCCTAAAAAAAAAAAAGGATCAACTGTTGTCATACATTTTAGTAATCATTAAATCATCTTCATTAATTAGTAAACACTTTTTTTACCACCACATGTAAATCATTCAGCATCTGAAGTGGTTTAATATGCCTTTCTTTCTTCAACGCTAATATTTCTGTTTCCAAACATGTCTGCAGAAAAGGTAAAAATGAGGCAGGGCTGTTTTAGTGAAGTTGATTTATGCACTGCTGCTCATGGCAATGATATTTGCATGCCAGGACGTATCTCAATCAAGGCCTTATTTCCTAAGCCTGTCTGGAATTTTATGAGAACGCATTTTCCAGAGTCTTAGTTGCCAAATAACTATTGAACCCTGAGGAATGTGCTGGATTGTTCTTGTTAACATTTTTTTAGTGCCATCTATGGTCCTGATATAGGCTACTAAAAGGAACCTCTCACTACCTCTTTTTAAAATAAGTCTGATTCTGAGTTGTAATTCCATGGAATTTAAAATGACATCTGACATATAAAGTTGAAAGTCAACGTGAATTGCTCCCACTCACAACCCACTTTACTTCCGCAATGCGGTGTATTTCTGAGTGAAACTAAATATTTAACAAATGAAATTCAGCCAGTTCACAATTAAGGAAGTGAATAGGGTCAGTTTAGATTTTTTTGTTGACTTCATAATACAGTTTGTTTTGTTTGATTGTCAGTTGCTCAATATGTTATTCCCTCTTGATTGCAGGCATGGGGATGACCTGATAGTCACACCTTTTGCTCAGGTAAATACATCAGTGTCACGTTTCTTTAAGGATTTCTTTTCAAATGGACGTGTGCTTGGTTTTACTACACAGCTTTGTTATTTCTCACTTTTTCTAGGTTCTAGCAAGCCTTCGAAGTGTCAGGAACAACTTTACTGTTTTGACCAATGTTCAGTGCACATCTAACAAGTAAGTATTATTGCAAACAGAAGCTATGACATTAGCCAAACTAATAGACAATTCAAATAGACTAAATCCAACACCTGTTTCACCACAAATCTTGACTAGAATAGAATCTCTTTCTAGCCTGAAGAATACAATTTTATATCCAATCTCACATCTCCTCTGACTATTTAAAGCTACTAAACTGTGTAACTTTCACATGATACATGAAGGAAACCAGAGGAATATGATGTAAGTATCCACAAAATACTGTTTACATGGAGCAAACTCCACCAGCAGGAATTGCGTCAGAAGGGCAGACCATAAGTGTTAGGAACAGTATTCTTAATGCTGCTAAAATGTCAATGTAGTTTTTAAAGCTCAAATAGCACAGGTTAGTTTTTGAAATAATTCATAAGTGCTCTAAGAGAGCAATATGTACTTCACATCTCTTTTTTTAAAACTTCCAGAATGCCTGACCCCAATGACTGCTATTGCATTACTCAATGAACTCGTGGTATAAACATATAGTTATTTTTAACTAACTAACTATTATTTTTTAGAGTAATGAATTTTTTAAAAATAATTATTAATATAAACGTATAAATAACTTGAATACAAACGATAAAAAAGTATGTTTTAATAATAAATAATAAAAACGACCACAAGAGGACAGTCTTTCCTAATATTTGTTTTGTGGACTCTGCCACCAATGCACACTGACATTTAACTAAGCCATTTTCCACTTATCGTGTCACCAGTTTTCAAGATTTCAATCCCAAACAAAAATCATTAACCTACAGAGAACATTTTCCAGATGCCCCTAAATTCCATTTTTTTTCCAACTGAGAGATGAGGGTAAACGGTGGAAAAGGTGTTCATTCGCTCTTATTCATGGAGGGAATATTTTCACCTTCCAAGTAACCATCTGCGTCAGGGCAATTATACCGCACTGTTAGAGGCTTTTGTTAGGCGCCTTTTCTTGTTTGTTTGAAGGGCAAGCCAGTTCAGAAGAATTTAATGGAAAATTCTTCAGAAGTATGTGCAGAAAAGAGGACACACCCTGTGATATAATAATAATAATAATAGTAATAATATGTATGTGTTGGTATCACATCAAATCCATGATTAACTTAAGAAAGTTATATTGCAGAGTGCACTGACTTGAATATAGTTTATTTAATTCGTTAATGTGTAAATATGCTCTTTGCTTTGACATTGTTATTGTTATAGATTTTTTTTTTAATACACACATAATTGATTGAAATGCAGGTTTTCTGTTTGTGTCAAAATGGTTTGTCTTTATTTGGCTACAATTTCAGTAATGTTTTAACATTTCTCCTTGCAGGAGGTCCCCGGTGTCCAACCAGCCCCCCATTACCAGAGTGTGCCTACCTGGTAAGTCCGTATATAATTTCACATATGCATAAATGTATCCCAAATGTGGTCCAAAAGTCTCAGACCAATATTGAAAGACAACCTTTTCAGATTTAATACATTTTTTTGATTACAAATGATATAAAGAGCAAACTGTTTTTGCTCTTTGTGAAAGTGAAAGGAGTAGTTCACTTTAAAAAAAAAGAAAAGAAAAAAAAGAAAAACTTTTGCTGATTATTTACTCACCCCCATGTCATCCAAGATGTCCACGTCTTTCTTTATTCAGTCGAAAAGAAATTAAGAAGAAGAAGTTTTTGATGAAAAGAATTCAAGGATTTTCTCCATAATGGACTTCAATGGGAACCTTAATTTCTTTTCAACTGAAGAAAGAAAGACATGGACATCTTGGATGACATGAAAGTGAGTAAATTATCAGCAAAAGTTTTTTTTTTTAAAGTTAAAAATGAGTGCAGAATCTTAAATATTGACTCTTCACTGTAGTTCCTTGGTTCAAAATCCTAAAAAGAAACCTAAAAAACATGGTGAATGTCCTCTTTTAATTTACAGGCATTTTCTATGCTTTTAAAATAACTCCATCTTGAAGATCATGAATTTATGTGTGTGCGCCTGTAAACACGTGTTTTGCGGTGGTGTGTGTGCATATATTTTTAATGATAGAGAGGCCTCTTGCCATGCTACGTGACTGCCCATGGCATTGCCCTCTTGTATCCCTCATCATCACTCATCTCCGCCTTTGCTTCTACTGATTGACCGGGCAGTGTTGAAACGTTTAGTAGACTAGCATACACACACATTCAAGCACGGTGCCCATATTAGTGGCTGTTTTGTCTAGTTTTACAGAATGTGTTAGACCATAGGAAAAGGCCATGGCTGCTACATGTTGGTCTCTCACACGCACGCACACCAGCCAAACACAATAATGCAACGGACAACAGCCTGGCAGCTGAAGGTTTTGTATAACCGGTGGGAAAATTCCTCATAGTTCACTCTCTGTCCTTGAGGATGGCTCCCAGTGTGATTATCAGAACACAGGCCAGACAGAGATTTCAGAAAAACTGTAATCTATTCTAACTAAACAGAACAAGGCCATTCACTGGAGCCTCTGAACAGCCCAGACTGTTTCCTTAGAAATGTCAAGAAAACCTTGGCGGACTGAAGCCATTTCTTAAGGATAATCAGAGAGAGATTGTTCACATTTCATCAAGGAATAGATAAAAAAGGCTTTCTATAAACACAACACAATCATTAGCAGGTTCTGTTTAATGAAATGCAATAAATTTGTGTAGTTGACGGTATTCTTGTAGCACAACAGTTAAATGGTTAAAAATGGTAACACTTTATTTTGATGGTCCCCTTACTAACTATAAGTAACTTTACAACTACATGTCAACTAACTTTCACCTGAGTATTAGTAGACTGTCTGCTTAAAGGATTAGTTCACTTTTCAAAAAACTTTTGCTGATAATTTACTCACCCCCATGTCATCCAAGATGTCCATGTCTTTCTTTCTTCAGTCGAAAAGAAATTAAGGTTTTTAACGAAAATGTTCCAGGATTTTTCTCCATATAATGGACTTCAGTGGGAACCAGACGCTTCAAGTTCCAAAAGAAACTTTCAGTATAAACTGCAAACTTGTCCAAAGGGCTTTAAACGATTCCAGACTATAAATAAGGGTCTTATCATGCGAAACGATTGCTCATTTTAAAAAAAAAAAAATAACAAAGTTTAAGTTTTATAATATCAAACGCTCGCCTTGCTCTGTTCTGTGGTGCACGTTCGTGACTCTCCTGTTCGAACTCGTTCAACAAAATGAACAAATCTTTTTCCGAATCAATTCGTTCGTTTCTTTCGCCGAATGAACCAAATGACTCGGAAAAAGATTTGTTCATTTTGATGAACGAGTTTGAACACGAGAGTCATAAACGTGCGTTACAGAACAGAGCAAGGCGAGCATGTGAGCTTATAAAACTTAAACTTTGTTATTTATTTATAAATTGAGCGATCGTTTCGCTTGATAAGACCCTTATTTATCGTCTGGAATCGTTTAATGCCCTTTGAACAAGTTTGCAGTTTGTACTGAAAGTTTCTTTTGGAACTTGAACCGTCTGGTTTCCACTGAAGTCCATTATAAGGAGAAAAATCCTGGAATGTTTTCATCAAAAACCTTAATTTCTTTTCGACTGAAGAAAGAAAGACATGGTCATCTTGGATGACATAGGGGTGAGTATATTATCAGAAAAAGTTTTTTTCAAAAGTGAACTACTCCTTTAATGTCTTCTAACACCCAACAGACATTCTGCTGACTATAACGTTGTAAGTACATTATTTTACTAAACCACACCCTAACACCTATCCCTAACCTAACAGTCAACTACCATCTAGGCATCTACTAATACTCTAATGAGAGTTAGTTGTCATGTAGTTGCAAAATTACTTATAGTTAGCAGAATATTTAAAATGGACCTTCAAAATATTGTATAAAAGTTGAAGCACTGTACAAAAAGTAGCGGTAGTGAAGGAGTTTGTCCACTAGTATCAGACATGTTGTGCCTTGGTGCTCACTTGGGAGACAGGTTTGAATCTATCAAATCCATCTAGCAAAAGCCCTAAAATAAAACATGCTTGCAAACTTCTCTTCAATTGGACCATAGAAGGAAAAATAAGCTTAAAAGAGGTTGAACTGTCAGTACAAATAGATTGTTAGTGTTGTACAGTCTGGTTTGGTGGCGGTAATGGATCCTTGTCCTGCATTCACAATTGAATCAATATATTTCTAGGAAAGATGGAAAAATCAAATGGAGTGGAAGAGAAGGGGTATACAGTAGAATATTGTGCATTTTTTGTATCATTTAGCTATAAGGGGGCACCAGGAGTACATCTCCATGTAACACTGAGTAGATACGGTAAAATGCTCAAAGTGCTCTTGAAATGTCAGTAATTGGGCCATACAGCAAGTCCGGCCTACACACACAAAAAAAAACAAAAAAAAAACACTAGGTCTTCAATGTATAATGTGGTAGAGAAGTGTCAAGGCATTATACTGAAGCAGAGAGCATGACAAATGCAGTCAGTTGAAGTTCCTGTCAGGTGCGGTGGGTTGTGATTGACGTCAGTTAGCTTGCATGCGGCTTTGTTGACTTCCTCCTAAACCAGGTGGACTGAGATTCACTTCCTGATGCTGTTCAGGCTTGATCGGTCTTTTTGTCTGCTAAAGTGCTGCTATGCTTCCAGTTGAGTGTAACGTCACAGTTACTCACCTCTTACTAAGCTGTTAGTTCCGTAATTTTGAAAATATGCAATAGTCATGCAGAATTAATGCAGAATTTGTTTTGATCGCAAATGCCACATCATTTTGGAGAGGTTTTGCACGTGTCCTTAAAGGAATAGTTCACCCAAAAATGAGAATGTTGTCATTTACTCACCTTCAAGTTGTTCCAAACCTGTATGAGTTTCTTTCTTCTGTTGAACACACAAACAAATATTTTTCAAAGAATATTAGCAATTAAAAAGTTGACAATAGCCATTGACTTCCATAGTAGGAAAAAAAAAAATACAATGGAAGTCGATGGCTACCGTCAACTGTCAACATTCTTTAATATATCTTATTTTGTGTTCAACAGAAGAAATAAACTCATACGGGTTTAATCTACTTTTGATCATGCATGATAAGGACGAAAAACTGCTATGATTGTTTTCTTTTCAGATTAGTCTCTATCTCTATCTCTAAAAAAATAGCCGTCATTGCAAAAACATAGATACTTTAGATACAAAAGATACAAAACCAGTTTACACCAAGATCGATAACAATAAAGATGTATAACTAAAGGTAAACTAAAAAAGTAACTTTAAATGCTTAAGTTCTTAGATTCTGATTGGCTATCAGTGTTTTTGTTCATCAACATTGTATACAACATCGTTCCTGTCATTATTGTTAAAGATGGAAGCTAAATCTATTCTAATAGATTAAAAAACTTTCTAGTTATAGACCGTCACATCTCATAACCTTTGTAGCAACGCACATATAACATTTTTTAAATGTGTCTCTACACCTTGTACAGTATTTTTTTCATTTCACTTCTCTGTGACTTGCATTTTTAAATGCAAAAACGAGGTCTGTGTGAATCACCCCTTATAATGCTAGCATCTATGTTTTTGCATTGACGGGGCTTTCTTACATTTACATTTACCAGACGCTTTTATCCAAAGCGACTTGCATCTGAGGACTAAATCAAACAAGTCATCATTCTTTTATTTCATTATTTTTTAAATGCAGATAGAGAGAGTAATCTAAAAAGAAATCAATGGCAGTAGTCTCCCACTCACAATGTAACCCCCAACGCATACAGAACTGTAGTGATGTAACCATAACTGAGACAATGAGACGAAGCCACTGACTTACTGCCTGCACCTAAACTGCCTCCTGTGTGTCATACAAACAGGGTCATTGGGCAGGAAGGAGAGTGCAGATTTTTCCTGTTTTTCCCATACCGCTGGAATCCTCCGGAACCCAGGAGGTGTTTTTCAGTGTGCGAGTGTTAATTCCTCACACACACAGGTCGTGAGATGAACTTGTCTGCGGCCTAATGACCAAATGGGGAAAATAGGATGTAGACTGACAAATACCATTGTCTTCTCTTTCAACACGCACTGATACGGACACGCGTGCACTCATAATGTGTGTTGGATTAGGTGCCTGTGATTTGTAGCACTGAGATGTGTGTGTATCAGATCATTGTTGCAAATTAATATTGTGCATTACTTTTGTGACTATTTGATCCATAGAATATACTGTAAACCCATGAGTTTTCCACATTCTTTTTTACACTGTGTGTGGGGGAGTCCATTTGTCCATGATTTGTGGTGTATGAGGAATTTGTTGTGATGGCCAGAATTTCCGGAACTCTTCGTCTCTGGCAATGGGAATGTTTTTTCATGTTTTTGTGAGAGCAGGAAAGTCACAGGTAAGACCTTGCTGTTCTTCTTACAGAGGAGGGAGGCGG